ACAAACAATAAAGAGGTCTGTTATTTTGGCTGTCACCTCTAAAGGAATGCATGGTTTTTGTTTTAAGTTTTCTCATTAACTAGTAATATAAAATTCTTAGTAGACACTGTAGTTATAATCACAATATCAGCTGATTCCATTTTCTATGTATACTTTTCCATCCAAACATGGAGATTGGATGTAGGGATACATTCTTGTGAATGAAGGCAAATATATGTGTCCTAGGATAATGTTGCAGGATCCAATCTGGGTTGGTCTCCAGGTCCAGAGGTTTAGAGAAAGGACTCAGAGGATGGATTCCAGAATGAGTCCGAAAGCTTGGAAGTCTGGTCCCAGTGACCAATTCAGATTGGATCCTACAATATGTTCTTGTCTGATTCTATCCACCCATCCATCCATTTGGTTTATGTCCCAACCTTTCTTTAGGTGATCAAGATGGAATACAAACTATTCCCTCCAGTTAATCCTCATAACAATAACCTTATAAGGTGGATTGGGCTGAGGTACAGTTATTGGCTTACGGTCATCAATGAGTTGATCATGGTTTGCGTCTTGAGGATGGGTTTTCCTAATCCCAGTCCAGTACCGGAACCATTATACACTTTTGGCTGTCTTTCAAGTAGATAGAAACCAAAGTTCGCATTTCCACCTGCCCTTCCTGAATGCCAGGAGCAGATATCTGCAATTGTATGTGAGCATGGAGCCAATGTCATGGATGCTACAGAAGATCAGTAAATCCAGTCTACAGCTGCTCTCTGCATTCACCATATGGGTCTCATGAAAATGAAAATAAGGATATAGGTAGAGGAGCATTGTTTGAACACAGAAATTGGAACTCAGATTAATAAATGTAACTTCTACAAAAAAAGAGTCTTGTTATGCAGCAGTGATAGTCAGTTGGCATGCTAGCTGGGTTTGATGAGAGATGAAGTCCAAACATGTCAAGGGTGCCAAATAACTGTCTACCCTTATACTGTTTCATAGAAGCTGAAATTATCAAAAGCTATTAACATTTGACAAATAAGTGTTGCTTTAATCCTATTAATCAGTAGCTTGTTAAAATAAAACTTTCGTTGATTAATCATTAGCACCAATTTTAATCAGTAGGCTGAGAATTAAAGCACACCTGGAAATATACAAATACATATCTAATTCTGAAAAGAAAACTCTGGTGTAAGGAGGTTGGGTAGTGTATGAGAGCCAGTTTGGTCCAGTGGTTAAGGCATCAGACTAGAAAGCAAGAAACCATGAGGTCAAATCCCACCTTAGCCCTGAAAGCCAGCTGTGTGTCTTTGAGCTAGTCATTCTCTCTCAGTTCACCTCACAGGATTGTTGTTGTGGAGGAAATAGGATCTCTTGGATCATTTGTAAAAAAAACACAATAAAGGTGGACTATAAACACTCAGATAAATAAAATAAACACATATATACACNGCAACGGTCACTGCCTTATGGACGTTGACATTTACAAAGATTAAGTTTAAGTCTAAGTCTAAGGAATCTGATGAAGGATTCTATCATTCAGAACAACTCCTGTTCTCCCTAGGAGCTTGTGGAAGGGTCCAGGATTGGGTTATTCTCACGTCCAATCTGCCCAGAAATTGAGTTAAATTTGAAGCCATGCCTCTCTGCTTCCTGTGCCTGGCTCCACTTTCAACTCAGTCTGGCCCAAGAGAGACACATTTTCTTTTGGCTCCTGAGAGTTGGACTAGTTTACCTCATTCCTGGACCCTTTATCCTTTCCCCTCTTTACCTCTCCTGGCCTTCTCTTTGCAAATGTGGCAGTTGCCATTGGAGGTAGGGAGTCAAAGGCACTGGTGGATGGCCTGATTTGGCTCCCTAAAGGCCATGTGGAGGCCGCTAAGCGCCGCTGTGGAACAGCACCTTGTTGGGTGACTGGCAGCCGCACAAGAGACTTTTCTTCCAGCTGCTGCTGAGTGCCGAGCTCCTGTGTGATGGGGGACGGCCTTGGTGCTTGCAGGTAGCCACCAGCAAGCAGGCGAAGTGGAAATTGGCATCAGAGACCACGTGGAGTGTCGGGGCTTTGGAGGCTTTGGAAAGCCTCAGGGGACAAGCTCCGCAGACGATTAGAGAACCGGACGCTGTCCAAGGAGAAGTTAATGTCGTTGAGGCAGCCGGGCGCCATTTTTGGGCATCTTGTGAGTGGCATGGGGCTGAACAAAATGGCGGACTCTGCAAGCGAGAGAGAGAAGGCTCCTTCCACCTCGGGCAGCAGATCTAGGCCCACGACCTCGCCTAGGGCCAAGAAGACTGCACCTAAGCGTCCCTCCATGGCCTTGGAAAAGGACGAACTTAGAAGGCACAAGGCCTTGGGGAAGAGGGTGGAGAGGGCAGAGAGACAATCCCAAATGGACAGGATTAGCCCTTCTCCACTTAGATCTAGATCCCATCTTAAGAAATCACCCATTCCAGGCCCATCTAATAGGTCCCCTGGACACAATATTGGGTCTATTGGAGATGATGTCTCATTATCTCCCCCTCTTTCCTCAGGGGATCCAGGGGAGGGGGCTGGGGATCCCTTTGCTCACATGGTCCCAACTAGCCCCAGATTGGCACTACAGGCTCCTTTTCCTGGGAGTTCCTCCTCTGCCAGCTTTCCAATGTTGCTTGAGCTTCTGGACTATTTCAAGCAACTCATAGCCCAAGCTATATCTCAGGGCATTGCCACAGGCCTACAGCAGAGGCCGCAACCCTCTCCTGAACGACCTATGTGTGGGACCCCATGAGGTGTTATAGACCAACCGCACTCTCAACACCTAACTCAGGATAGTCCAGCCTCCCCTTTATTGGCCAGTGAAGGGTCAGTGGGGGTGAGGGACCTCTCCCTGACCTAGATTTGTCTTGATGATGAAGAGTGAGTCCCAGAGCCTCCAGCTTTTTCAGGGCTGTTTTCTCCTGAGCTCTTTATATCTCTTTTAAGCAAGGCTGAGGCCACTGCTGATTTAGGTGAGGAATCTTCTGAACCAGTTACCTCTCAGCTACCAAAGAAGGGGGGAGATCTCTTTTCTGAGCCTCTGGCTGCAAAGGAGGAGATTCCCGCTCAACTTTTTCTTGATGTGCTAAAAAACCAATGGGAGAAACCAGGTGCGTTTCCCACCCCAGGGGGTAATAAAGGGCGGTTTTACAATTTAGAACTAGAATTTTCTTAGGCACTGCAAATGCCAGCTGTAGACCCTCTTCTGGCTGCACTGGCCACTTCCCCTTCTCTTGTCTCAGGATATATCACCGATAATCTCAAGGCTGAGGATAAAAAGGCTGAGATTACCTTGCGAAAGACCTTTCAAGCTGCATCCTGGGCTATTAAGTCAGCGGCCTCAGCTTCATTCTTTAATCGAACCACGTTGCTGTGCTGCATCAGATGCAAGAGCATATTCCCCCGAATGATTTAAAGGTTGTAGCAAGACTTAAACAAATTAATTGCTGCTACTCAGTTTTCTTCAGATGCCACACTCAATGCAGTGAAGTATGCATCCAGGGCCTTGGCAACTTCGGTGACCTTCAGATGGCTTTTGTGGCTTCGCAACTGACAGGCAGATGCCAAGACTAAGTGGCGGCTGGCAACCTTTCCCTATATGGGGACCCAGTTATTCGAAGCATCTCTGGATCCCATTATTATGGAAGACAAGAATAAAAAAAGGTTTTTCCTACAGCGGCCAAGCAGTTGGACCAGAGGCCAGCCCCATACTACCGTAGACCTTCGTTTTGATCACAGGACCAGCAATCCAGGTATTTTCCATCCCATAGTGATAGACAACAGATTAGGCAGACATACAGGGCTTATCCTCAAGATAGGTCCAGATACCAACCCCAGAACAAGAGGCCCTTTCGTGGGGGAGGTGGTCACCCCTTTCGCAGAGGCAAGTGAGCAAATCCTCCAATTGGCAGCTGCCTCTGCTTGGAATCCCCCAGTTGGATTCCATTACTACCAACCAGTGGGCCCTATTAAATTTGGCCGTCATCTGGAATTTATCTCCTACTCCCCAAAAAGGTTTCAGGTTTTCTCTTCTTCAAGGAATCCTGGCAAGTGGAATCTCATGAAGGTGGCCATTCAACACATTCTTGAGATTCAGGCTATTGAGCTGGTTCCCAAAGACCAGGTGAGATTGGGGTTGTACTCCAATTTGTTTGTGGTTCCTAAAAGTTTGGGGAGGGGGTGGAGAGCAATTTTAGATCTTAAACTTTGGAATTCGCACATTGTATATAGAAGGTTCAAAATAGCCTCCTTGAAGACCATTCTTGCGTTGATTAGGCCAGAAGACTATGGCTTTGGTGGACCTTACAATGGCATACCTTCATATTTTGATCCTTCAGGAGCATAGGAAGTTTTTGAGGTTTTTCTTTAGGGGCATCCACTACCAGTTCAGGACTCTTCCTTTTGGCCTCACTTCAGCTCCTCAGACTTTTACCAAGGTTCTTGCCACCTTGGCTGCACACCTAGGATCAGTACCAATTAGAATTCAGTGTTATTTGGATGATACTTTAGTTCAGGCGTCTTCATCCCAGCAGGCAGGGTCGCACCTCGCCTTAACCATTCGAACCTTGCAGGAGTATGGGTTTTCCGTAAACTTTGCAAAGAGTAATTTGGTTCCTTGAAATAGGCTACAACACCTGGGTGCTATTATTGATGCAGCAGAGGGTAAGGTTTACTGGTCTTTCGAGCGTAGGGAGAGCATTATCCAGTTGGTAAGGCAGGTCCATAGGGAATGGCCTGTTCTTGTTCTCCTTATGTCCAAGTTGGTGGGGAAAATGTTTTCCTGCATTGCTATAGTGCCACGGGCTCGCCTCCATGGTCGGACACTGCAGTGGCTGCTGCTTCCCCATCAATGCAATGGCACCTGTGATGCGTCATTCAAGATCAAGGTCCTCTTGTCCCTGTGATGGTGGCTGTCACCAGCTCTTCAGAAGGGCTCAGTCTTCAAGGATCTGATGCGCCTCACTCTGACCACAGATGCAAGCCTCTTCAGCTGGGGAGCTCTGCTGGACTCTCAGCTGGCACAAGGTCAGTGGTCGCTGGTGGACTTAAAACACAATATCAACTGGTTAGAACTGAGAGCGGTCCATCTGGCTCTCAGGCACTTCACGACACAGGTCACCGGCTGCCCTGTGTTGACACTGACAATGTAGCTGCCAAGTGTCACATAAACAAGCAAGGGGGCACCCAATCGGTGGCCCTGTGGCACGAGGCATTCAGACTGGGGTCCTGGGTGGAATGTCATTTTCTGCCTCTGATTGTGGAACACATCTCCGGCATTGGACAACGAGCAGGCAGACTGGTTCAGTAGGCCACTGTCAATCACGGGGAATGGCAACTTGAGGCCAAGTTTTTTCGCTGAATTTGCTGGACTTTCGGACAATCGCTCGTGGATATCTTCATGTCAATAACCGACACCCAGCTTCCTAGGTTCATCTCCCGCTTACCAGCTCAGGGAGCAGAGGACATGGACGTACTGTGCTGCCGGTGGCTGGAGGGTCCCCTTCATGCATTTCCACCCATTACCCTCATTCCCAGGGTCCTGAGGAATGTGGAAACAGAGGAAGCAGAGGTAGTTATGGTAGCACCCTTTTGGCCCCGCAGACCATGTTTTGCAGATCTATTGGACCTCTCAATATCCCCCCCCACTGGAGAATTCCCAAGGAGGAGGTCGTCTTGTGTCAGGGGGTCCTGTTTCATCAGGAGCCGCAGTGGCTCCAGTTGACAGCCTGGCACTTAAATGGGAACAACTTAGGGCGGCCAATTTCTCCAGTAGGGTAATCGGAACAATTGAGGCATCACACAGGCAGTCCACCATGCGTATCTATAATGCCATGTGGACCACCTTCAGGAACTGGTGCAGGGGAGCGCATGTGGTCCCTGCCTTGGCCTCGGCCCCTCAGATATTAAGAGTTCCTGCAGAATGTGTTGGAAAAAGCCCTTTCTCACAATACCATGTGTAGGCAGGTGGCGGCCCTCTCCACAGTACTAAGGGGCGAGGGGAGCAGGCCTCTTGCTCAATATCAAGTGATAAAAGTTTTTTCAAGGGGGGTGCTAATCTCAGGCCACCGGCAATCCACAAGTTTCCCACATGGGATCTGTTTCTGGTGCTGCTGAATTTCTGCTCGGCCCCTTACAAAGGAACTCTTTGAGCTGTTGAGGACAGTTAGTACACAGTACCTCACACTCAAGGTGGTCTTCCTAGTGGCGGTCACCACCGCGAGATGCATCTTGAAGTTGAGTGCCTTGTCTTCAAGGATTGATATCTGTGTTTTTCTTTTATTTTCTTTTATTTTTTTTTAAACATATTTTTTAATTTCCATTTTCACAACATACAATCACATGTACACTATACATAGCCAGTATCATATAGTAACAAATAAGGATCACATCAGTTCCTCTTGTCATCAACACCCAAAAAAATAAAAAAAATGAAAACCCATTATTAGCTCTTCTGCTCTCCATACACCTTCCTCTTCTACCTCTCTCCTACTTCCTATCTTCCCTCCATCATCCCTTCCCACTCTACTTTCCCTTCCCCTCTCCCTCTCCTCTCCCTACATTCCACTCCTCCCTATCCTCATCCTCCCCCCTCACCATCTCTCCTATCTCTCTCTTCCCATCTTTCTCTCTACATTCCACTCCTCTTTATCCTCCTCATCTTCCCCCCTCACCCTCTCCCCTCCCTCTCTTCCCATCTCCCCTCTGTTTCCCACTCTTCCTCTCATTGGTGTATTTCCGCTTCTGAGCAAACTCCAATCTATGTTGATAGTATTTATACTTCCATAACAGTATACTTAACATATTGTAGTTATAAAGAAAAAAATAAGAGAAAACAGTATACATGTGCAATCATATTACATTAAAGTCAACATTATCCTTGATGAGGGGAAGTACAAGCAATTTACACCACCCATAGCAAGCTAGCTCACCAACAGGTCCATATAGGGAAACTTGATTAACTTTTTTTCCCCACATCTTGTCAGACTCAGAATAAAATGGGATTATGAAAAGATTAGATGACTTGAGGGTATTATCCATATAATTCTTCCTATTTTTCCTCTGATACAGGAGTAAAATTTGAAATGATACTATTAGAGATAAATTCTAAACATCCTAAAATAATTGTCATTTTATTCTCTGCCCAAATATATGTACCCAGGTGACACACTTGAGGATTATCTTTTATATGACTCCCTTTCCTGCAACTTTTTTTGCAATTGCAATTAGACTTATATACCGC